TGTGTGTGTGTGTGTGTGTGTGTGTGTGTGCGTGCGTGCGTGCGTGCGTGCGTGTGAGTGAGTGTGTGTGTGTGTGTGTGTGTGTGTGGAACTGCCTCCAGACTGCGTCGTAGACCCGCAGCAGCCTCGTCGTCTTGACCAGAGTGTGCAGCCGCTGCTGCGTCCCGCCGGCCGCCTCGCGCGACCCGCCGGCGCGCCGTGCGAGCAGCAGCGGCCGCGCGCCGAGATCTTGCCGGACGAGGCGAGAGGTAGACGGGTGCGGGTCGCACGTAACGAGGATCTGGAGCGGATCCAGCCTGGGTCGCGCCGCGCCGCAGCCGAACGACGGCGGAGCTGAAGCGGCGCGTGGAGAGTCACGGCGGCGAGCAGACTGCCCGACGAGCGGTCGGGCGCCGCACGGCCCGGGGGGTATGCACGGAGGATATGCTGGCACGTGGCCGCGGCATAGCGGCGAGAGGGGCGAGAGAGACAGCAGGCCGTGGATGCAGCGCTGCAGCCCTTGGGTACCGGGTAACAAAAGAATTTCGCGACGAGATGTGGCTCGCTGGGTGCGCTTCTTAGCTCCCCGGCCCCGCATGTGAGGTTAATGAGAACCGTCTCGTCACACCTCGAAGCCATTAAGTCTTTTTTTCGCTGTCAAACCGTTCTAGCGGCGCTGCGCGCCGTGTGGAGAGCGCGGCGCGAGCAGACAGAGGAGCACGTGCTGCGCACGCACCGTCAAGGCCGCCTCGTGAGCCGGCGAGCCGAGCCTTTTCATTGCATGAAGTGTGAACGGCGCCTCTTCACACCTCGAGCCGTGACCGCCGTCTAGCGCCTTCTCGCCGCCCAAAGGCGCTCCGCGCCTCGCAAACAGCGCCGAGCGTGTAGCACAGCACACGCGCAGCACACCCACTGAGCGGCATCTGACAAAACGTCGCCTCGAGCCCTATCCGAGTCGAAATGTGTGAGAACCGTCATTTCACACCTCAAAGCCGCTAAGTCTTTTTTTCGCCGTCAAGCCGATCTAGCGGCGCTGCGCGCCGCGTGGAGAGCGCGGCGCGTGCAGAGGAGCACACACTGCACACGCACGGTGAAGGCCGTCTCACGAGTCGGCGAGCCGAGCCCTGTTCATAGCATGAAGTGTGAACGGCGCCTCTTCACACCTCGAGCCGTGAACACCGTCCGGCGCCTTCTCACCGCCCCAAGGGCGCTGCGCGCCGTGCAAACGGCGCCGAGCGTGCAGCGCAGAACACGCGCAACACGCCACTCGCACGGCGTCTGATGACCCGGCGCCTCGAGCCCTATCCGAGTCGAAAAGTGTGAGAACCGTCATTTCACACCTCGAAGCCGCTAAGTCTTTTTTTCGCCGTCAAGCCGCTCTAGCGGCGCTGCGCGCCGCAAAGAGAGCGCGGCGCGTGCAGAGGAGCACACACTGCACACGCACGGTGAAGGCCGTCTCACGAGTCGGCGAGCCGAGCCCTATTCATAGCAAAGAGTGTGAACGGCGCCTCTTCACACCTCGAGCCGTAACACCGTCCGGCGCCTTCTCACCGCCCCAAGGGCGCTCCGCGCCGTGCAAACGGCGCCGAGCGTGCAGCGCAGCACACGTGCGACACGCCAAACTCGCACGGCGTCTGATAAAACGGCGCCTGGAGCCCTATCCGAGTCGAAAAGTGTGAGAACCGTCATTTCACACCTCGAAACCGCTAAGTCATTTTTTTTCGCCGTCAAGCCACTCTAGCGGCGCTACACGCCGCAAAGAGAGCGCGGCGCGTGCAGAGGAGCACACACTGCACACGCACGGTGAAGGCCGTCTCACGAGTCGGCGAGCCGAGCCCTATTCATAGCAGAAAGTGTGAACGGCGCCTCTTCACACCTCGAGCCGTGAACACCGTGCGGCGCCTTCTCACCGCCCCAAGGGCGCTGCGCGCCGTGCTAGCGGCGCCGAGCGTGCAGCGCAGCACACGTGCGACACGCCCCTTGCACGGCGTCTGACAAATCGGCGTCTCGAGCCCTATCCGAGTCGAAAAGTGTGAGAACCGTCATTTCACACCTCGAAACCGCTAAGTCATTTTTTCGCCGTCAAGCCACTCTAGCGGCGCTACACGCCGCAAAGAGAGCGCGGCGCGTGCAGAGGAGCACACACTGCACACGCACGGTGAAGGCCGTCTCACGAGTCGGCGAGCCGAGCCCTATTCATAGCAGAGAGTGTGAACGGCGCCTCTTCACACCTCGAGCCGTGAACACCGTCCGGCGCCTTCTCACCGCCCCAAGGGCGCTCCGCGCCGTGCTAGCGGCGCCGAGCGTGCAGCGCAGCACACGTGCGACACGCCACTCGCACGGCGTCTGATAAAACGGCGCCTGGAGCCCTATCCGAGTCGAAAAGTGTGAGAACCGTCATTTCACACCTCGAAACCGCTAAGTCATTTTTTCGCCGTCAAGCCACTCTAGCGGCGCTACACGCCGCAAAGAGAGCGCGGCGCGTGCAGAGGAGCACACACTGCACACGCACCGCGAAAGCCGTCTCACGAGTCGGCGAGCCGAGCCCTATTCATAGCAAAGAGTGTGAACGGCGCCTCTTCACACCTCGAGCCGTGAACACCGTCCGGCGCCTTCTCACCGCCCCAAGGGCGCTGCGCGCCGTGCTAGCGGCGCCGAGCGTGCAGCGCAGCACACGTGCGACACGCCCCTTGCACGGCGTCTGACAACTCGGCGTCTCGAGCCCTATCCGAGTCGAAAAGTGTGAAAATCGTCTCTTCACACCTCGAAACCGCTAAGTCATTTTTTCGCCGTCAAGCCGCTCTAGCGGCGCTGCGCGCCGCAAAGAGAGCGCGGCGCGTGCACAGGAGCGCGTGCTGCATACGCACCGCGAAGGCCGTCTCACGAGTCGGCGAGCCGAGCCTGTTCACGGCATAAAGTGTGAACGGCGTCTCTTCACACCTTTAGCCGTGAACACCGTCCGGCGCCCTCTCGCCGCCCCAACGGCGCTCCGCGCCTCGCTAACAGCGCCAAGCGTGCAGCGCAGCACACGCGCAGCACGCCCCTCGCACGGCGGCTGATGAATCGGCGCCTCGAGCCCTACCCGAGCCGAAAAGTGTGAGAACCGTCTTTTCACACCTCAAAGCCGCTAAGTCTTTTTTTCGCCGTCAAGCCGCTCTAGCGGCGCTGCGCGCCGTGTGGAGAGCGCGGCGCGTACAGAGGAGCGCGTGCTGCACACGCACCGCCAAGGCCGCCTCGTGAGTCGGCGAGCCGAGCCCTATTCATAGCAGAAAGTGTGAACGGCGTCTCTTCACACCTCGACGCCGTGAACGCCGTCCGGCAACTTCTCACCGCCCCAAGGGCGCTCCGCGCCGTGCAAACGGCGCCGAGCGCGTAGCGCAGCACACGCGCGACACGCCCCTTGCACGGCGTCTGATAAAACGGCGCCTCGAGCCCTATCCGAGCCGAAAAGTGTGAGAACCGTCTTTTCACACCTCAAAGCCGCTAAGTCTTTTTTTCGCCGTCAAGCCGCTCTAGCGGCGCTGCGCGCCGCGTGGAGAGCGCGGCGCGTGCGGAGGAGCACGCGCTGCGCACGCACCGCGAAGGCCGCCTCGTGAGTCGGCGAGCCGAGCCCTATTCATAGCAGAAAGTGTGAACGGCGTCTCTTCACACCTCGAGCCGTGAACGCCGTCCGGCAACTTCTCACCGCCCCAAGGGCGCTCCGCGCCGTGCAAACGGCGCCGAGCGCGTAGCGCAGCACACGCGCGACACGCCCCTTGCACGGCGTCTGATAAAACGGCGCCTCGAGCCCTATCCGAGTCGAAAAGTGTGAGAATCGTCTCTTCACACCTCCAAACCGCTAAGTCTTTTTTCGCCGCCGAACCGCTCTAGCGGCGCTGCGCGCCACGTGGAGAGCGCGGCGCGAGCAGAGGAGCACGTGCTGCACACGCACCGCCAAGGCCGCCTCGTGAGTCGGCGAGCCGAGCCCTATTCATAGCAACAAGTGTGAACGGCATCGCTTCACACCTCGAGCCGTGAGCGCCGTCCGGCGCCCTCTCACCGCCCCAAGGGCGCTCCGCGCCGTGCTAACGGCGCCGAGCGTGTAGCGCAGCACACGCGCAGCACGCCCCTTGCACGACGGCTGACAAATCGGCGCCTCGAGCCCTATCCGAGTCGAAAAGTGTGAATTTTGTCTCCTCACACCTCGAAGCCGCTAAGTCTTTTTTTCGCCGTCAAGCCGCTCTAGCGGCGCTGCGCGCCGCGTTGAGAGCGCGGCGCGTGCAGAGGAGCACGTGCTGCACACGCACCGCGATGGCCGTCTCGTGAGTCGGCGATCTGAGCCCTATTCGTGGCACAAAGTGCGAACGGCGTCTCTTCACACCTCGAGTCGTGAATGCCGTCCGGCGCCTTCTCGCCGCCCCAAAGGCGCTCCTCGCCGGGCTAGCAGCGCCGAGCGTGTAGCGCAGCACACGCGACACACGGCCTTTGAATGGCGTCTGACAAATGTTTTTCTTCTTCTCAGCGCATCCATCTCGGCGCGTCAATTCTTCGTTTTCCGGGTTCCAATTCTTTTCCTGCCTCGCCTGTCGCGTGAATCGTTTCGTGCGACCGCCTTTTGTCGAAAATTCTTTACCGGCTCGCGGGAAAATTCTTTTTCGGTCGCGGACGGCACAGCTCGCTCGCTCGCCATTTGCTCACGCTCGCGCAGGCGCGTCGCAGCGTGCACCCACGCAACGCCTCCGCTCCGTCCACACCACCCACTGCGTAGCCATGGCATTTCCGTGTGCATGCGACGGACTCGCTCTCCTGCACTTGCCGCCGCCCTCGCCACCGCCGGTTCCGAAACTGCTCTGCGGCCGCCATCGTACTCACTGCCTCGCTCTGCAGGACTCGACACCAGCGCCACCTGACCCGCACCCGCTCGCTCTCGCTCACGCTTCGTGCTGTCGCTGCTAGGGTCTTCGCTCATCGACTCGGAGCGCCGGCCGCCTCTCTCGTGCTCTTTTCGCTGTCACGTCACCTCGACACCGCGCGGTCGCGACTCTCGATGTTGCGTCGGCTCTCTCGGTCACAGCGTCACCACCCGCTGCGCCGAGCAGCAAAGGCGAGGCGCAGCTCGCATCGGCGGTGGCCGACCGCCGTGCCGACGGAAAAAATGCCTTCGATCCCGCCGCAACCCTCCATCTCACCGCCGCCGTCTTCGCCACGAGACCGCCTCCGGCGAGCTCGGCCGGCTCTCCTCGCCCACGCGGCGCTCTCGAGCGCCCCAAGCATAAAGATTGCCGGGTGTCGTTAGGGTTAATCAGGGTAGTGTTGCGGTTAGGGTTAGAGGTGGCACACCGTCATGACGTTAGGGTTAGGATCACGTCGAGAGCTAGGGTTAAGTTAGGGTTACACGCTCCCCCGCCACGGCTCGAAGAAGGGCTCAAAAATCGATAAAACGGTCAACCTCGCGAAAAAATCGCGCGCTGCGCGCGCAGGAAAAGAAAGAGAGGGAGAGAGATTCATTGCCACCGCGCAACCACACCCCGGCGGAGCCCGGGAGAAAGTCGTGGAGCGCAGCGACACGACTTTCTCCCGGGGCGACGCCGGCGCGCGCGGAAAACGCGGTTTTCGCGAAAACGGTGGAGGCCGCCCCGCGCTACCGCCCCATCAAACCCGCACCGCCTGAAGCCCTCGGGAAGGCCCTCAAAACGTCGACGCGGGAGGGCGAAAATCGCCTCGCTTCAGAGCCCGCGGGAGGACGGACCCCACGCCGCCCCACGAGCGACCCGCGCAACCCGCGACCAACAGCCGTGCGGAGGATCGGCAGGAGACGTCCGCAGCCCCCAGGATCGTCCTCGTCCGATCTCACCATCGGCCACCATGACCCTCCCCGCGCGCGCCGCAAATCTCCAGGCCCTCTGCTCCACTTTGGACGACCGACTTTATTTCGGGTGCTAAAGCAGCTCGCACGGGCCCATCTCGCCGCCCCCGCCCCCGCCCGACCCCGCCCGGCAGGCCCGGCGCTGCTGGCCTCCCCCGCGCACCTCACGGGGCGCCATGACACCGCCTGCCGGGCGGCCTGCAGCAGTGCGGGACAGCAGCTGCTACATTCCTCGCCTCCCGACGGCCACGGCGCCGCCCCGCGGTCGAAGCTCGCAAAACCACGCACGGCCCCGTCCACACCGCTCACCGGACGCCCGCTCGCGCCGCCCGCGGACCCCTCTCCCGCCAAACCCGCCCCTCTCCTAGCCCCTCCCAGTGAACGGTATTGCGTTCTAGCGAAATCCCTCTTGAAGAATACGTTTTCCATGGCACCAAAAAAGTTGAGGAGGAGAGGAGAAGAGAGGCGGGGCGAGGCGAGGCGAGGAGAGGAGAGGCGAGGCGAGGAGAGGAGAGGCGAGGCGAGGCGAGGCGAGGAGAGAACCCGCCTCTCTCACAGCACACTCGCTGCTGGCACGACAAGTGTTGTGCTCCCACCCCACCCGCTCGTCGCGGTGTGTAAACCGCAACGCGACCGAGGCGCTCGCGGCGCCGGCGGCTCTCAGTTTAGACGCCGATTCCGGCGGCACGGTCGGGCCCGAGCGGCGGGGTGGCGGGGGCAGGGCGGTCGTAGACGCATCGGAAACCGACAGTGCCGGCGCGCTCGTACGACTCGCCAAAAAGGAAGTACTTGTTGTGCGTGGTGCACGGAGGGCCGCTGCCTGGCCCGCCGCGGTTCGGAAAGTACCAGTGCGACCTATTCACGAGGGGAGCCGTGAAGAGACGCCGTTCACACTCTTGGGGGGGAAGGAGGTTTGCGACCCGTCCGGCCGGTAGTTTGAGCCGCCGCGCAGCAGCACCGAGCGCGTGTGCTCGTCGGCGATCTCGTCGGTGTACTGCCTACGCGGGGGAATAGACGCCAACCTCAGGGGCGGGAAGGCGGCATTGAGCAGTGTCTTCGGAGGCACCGCGTGAACACGAGGGGGGCGAAGCAGTGACTACAGCTGAATACGGCGGAATACAGCTGAATGCGCGTCCTCTCGAGCGCTGGCTGGGAGACGAGAATACGTGCTCCGCTTCTAGGGTGTGCCTCTTTTGGTACTGTGGCGTACCTGTGTCGAACCTGTGTGCTGTGAGAGAGACTTGTGTTGGTTGGATTCTAGGGCGTGCTGCCACACGTTCCCCGCAAGGTCGGAGACGCCGAAGGGCGAGTCTCCCGCCGGGGAGTGCGCCGTCACC